CTTACTCCCCCTTAGTGCTGTGTCTCTGTGAGACACAGCACCTGAGAAGCCACTGTGTCATGGCATTGTATAGTCCTGACTCACTCACTTCTCACCAAGTTATCATCACCAGTTTCATTCTTAGATGATTGTTTGGAGTCACCACCTAAGCATGAGAGACAGAAAAATACAGTGAAGATGCTGGAGAAACCCTGGAATTCCTAGAAATAAGTCTCACCCTAAATTAACCAGTGGAAGTTTGTTTTAAAGAATACCATTCTATCGGTTGTGGTGAATGCCTTTAATCCCAGCACTCGGAAGGCAGAGGCAGGTGGATCTGTGAGTTTGAGGACAACCTGATCTACAAAGTGAGTCCCAGGACAGAAAAATCCTGTCTCAAAAAACAAAAGAGAGAGAGAGAGAGAGAGAGAGAGAGAGAGAGAGAGAGAATATACAATACAATTCTAGAGCTCAATGGTTAAGAGCACTTGCTGCTTTTGCAGGGGACCCAGGTTCTAGTCCCAGCAGTCACATGGAGATTCACAGACCTAACTCCATGCTAGGAGATCTGACTTCTTCTGGCCCTCATGAACACACTACATACATGTGGTGTACCCACATACATGCAGACAAAACACTCAACGTTTAAAAACGTAATTCTGATCACATAAAAATATCTCCGGGCTCCATCTTCCTTAGAAGTGGCCTCTGATTTGCATAACACAAATTCATTGCACATCAACATCCCAGAGATTCCATGCCACACCCTTACCAGAACCTTCCGGAGGTCCAGTCAGAGCCCATGATATAGATCCCGGGCTCCCTGTGTTGGCATTTGAGGTCTTGAAACCTGAGGTCCCAAATGCCTATAGGCCTCTGCAAAGATGTCTAGTGACTGCTTCAAAGGGCCAGGGAACCCTGAGACCAGGACTGGGGACTCTAACATCCTTTTCTGTACTCAGCACACAGCCATCCCTCAACATGAGGCAACCATGCTTGACTCCTCAGACCCCCAAATCCAGATGTTTTTTGGACTATTCCCAATTTTGTAAAACTCTGGTGTTCAGGCATGGCGGTGCATACCTTTAGTCCCAGCACTCTGGAGGCAGAAGCAGGCCAACCTCTGTGAGTTGGAGTCCAGCCAGGGCTACATAGTGAGATCCTATCTTTAAAAAAAAAAAATAAAACAAAAAAAGCCTTTGGAACTTTGGTGTTGCCTAGCCTGCCACACATGCACAAGCCCGACACTACACATGCCCTAAACCGCCTTTCCAGTCCTTCTCTTTCACAAAAATCTCCTGTTCCCTCTCACATACAACCACAGTATACATTGCAGCCCAGCCCTCACTCACGATGTGTCTTCCCTATGCAGCACTGAATGCCCCAAACTTCCTCCCAGACTTGGTTACTCCCAAGAGTTCTCCCCAGTCCCATCAGCACACACCACTTTGCGGCCCCACCTCCCCTGCCCTCTCTAGCCTTTCAGAGTACTAATTTTTTTCATTTTGGCATTTGCTCCTTCTCCACGGTGCATCTTATCTCTCCAACTAGGCCATAACACCCCCCTTTGTTGGGCTTGCAGCTACCTTCAGCCCTGGGAGGTGTAGCTCTGCACACAGGCAGCTTCATAAATACTTGAGGAATGTGAAAGTCTCCCGGTGCATTTCAAACTGTGAGTGGGTTATGATCCACTAGAGAGTGGCTGGATCAACTTGGTGGGAAACAAGAGCATTTTTTAGTGAGAAGGAACAACATAGACAATAAAAAGAAAAAAAATCCAGGCTGTACAAAGAAAAGAGGTTAAGACTTCACAAACTGAAATTCGATTTTTACATACATGATTAGGTATATAAAGTCATGATGTAAGTTTCTTTTCATTATTTTACATTATTTTACATTGATAGGGGGTATCCATGCCTGCACTTGCAGGAGTTGGTTCTCTCCTTCCACCATGTGAATTCTGGGAATCAAGTCAGGTTACCAGGCTTGGTGGCAAGCACCCTTACCCACTGAGCCATCTCGTCAGCCCTCAACTCTATTTCTTAATGTAGGTCATGGTCACAACTGTGTATAAACCTTGCCCTATGATAAACCAAAGAACCCAACCTCTGTCTGCTTTATATGATTTCTTTTAATAGTCTGACAGTCACTATAACAAAAAAAAAAAAATACCTATGATAGCTCAGGCCTGCCATGTCAGGATGATTGTGGTGAATTCAAGGCTCCTGAGTTACACAGAATAAGAGGGATTGGAGAGAAGGATGGACTGAGGGAAGGAACAGAGAGAGAGGAGGAAGAGGGAATAAAAAGAAGAGATGAGAGGAGAAGAGAGGAGGGGAGAAGAGGAGCCAAAAGACAGAAGGTAAGAAAGAATGTGACCCTTACAGCTCCGTCCCGATCCCTCAAGGCCCTCTTCCCCTCTGTTCACTGACCCTGAATCTCAAGAGAAACCAGCAACTAAAACGGGCATCCCGGATCACTCCACAACCTTTTGCAATCACCCTTCAAACTCAGATATTGCAAGCTGAGGCTTGGGGAATTTGTTCAGCATATCACCCTAAGTCGCTCTTGCAAAAAGAAAGCAGAATTTAGAGTTCAGGGAAAAAGAACACCAGCTCCCTGCTACTTGTCCTTGTCACCAGAATCCTGGGAACTGGATGGGCCTGGTATAAGCCAGGCCCTACAAGAGGCCCCACATTCCTCTGTCTTCTTAGGTTGTCTTGCTGTTTGTCCCTCCCCCTGCACAAACAGCGCAGGAGACTTACCTTAGTATCTCTGTAAAGAGTAAAGTTCAGCAAGCATCAAAGCCTAGTAGCTTACCCCCTTAGCAAAGCCCACTCCACTTCCCTCCAACCTCCAGCCCCACCCACAGGGCTGTAATAAATGCCCCATGTTCCTAGAAACCCATTCCCCAGCACTGCTCCTCTAGCTTCAGGGTTAGATGCAGGCAATGCCAAGTGAAAGGAGGGCAAAACAAAAGCCCTGAAGGCTGCACCCACCCGCAGTCCCATGTGAATTCTCTGTCCCTACACTGCCCCCCCCCAGGGTTTGCACCCATCACAGCCACAGCTGCTAGCACTACACCCTACATCTGGACAACCTGACAAACAGAGACTTCTCTACAGCCCAAGTGTCAATTACCTTCTCTACAAAACATACATTTCCGATTCAGATTACCAACTAGGGCAACTCCAAGGCCCTGGTGTATGTGTGATCAGCTTCCACCAGGAATGAATTCCTTTCACATCTTCTCTCCACCCTGCCCCTGTCAACAGATTATTTAACAGTAAAATCTTCCAATAAAACCAAGTCCAAACCCACGGCACTCCAAAAGTGCAACAGGCTACTTACTGGTTTGCCTCCTAACATCAGATTCAAAAATCTTTACAAATACCCTAGTCACATCCCTCCCTGGTCTAATGTCTCCCCAGTACGCCCAGGATAAAAGTCTAATTCCTTAGTCTGACTTTCTAGGACTTTCACAACCTCAGTCATTGTTCCTCTCTAACTTTATCTCTTACTGTTCAGGAAACATTCCAAGAGGGCCAAGGCCATCTCCTAGTCTCTAGAGAAACCCAGACTCATTCCCCACATTCATTGTGCCCCATCTCCAGAGTCTCATCGTGCAAGGGGCACAACACAGGCCTAGCAATCCCTGAACGTACCTAGCGCCCTCCCCTGACCTCCAACGGCACCCATTTCTGCACCTGGCAATTTGACAACTAACTGTGCCCCATCTGGAATCTTATTTCACATGCTCAAGTCTTTCTGTGTCCTCCAAGAGATTATAAGCCCTGGACAGATTTATGTATCTTCTGTAGTCTTACTCACTGGGACAACAAGCCTTCTGCAAGCTTGTCACCTGTGAACTCTTCCTTTTGACTTTTGAGTCTTGCCAGGGAATTGTCTACAGGTGGGAATTATTTCAAAATGAGTACTAAGTGCCCTTCTCCACCTTTAACTGCCATGCTTCCTGTGTCCCCAACGTTTACATTAACTTTGTGGCCATAGCACATTAATTTAAACTTGAGCTCTTAAATCATTTCTCTCTAGTCTTGTAGCTTCCTGAGTCCTTCGAAAAGTCGCCTTCAAGCATCACCCAGAAGTCTTAGCAGTAGGAAGAGAACAGAATAGGTTCTCAGAGGTACCTGTGGGTTAACCAATGCCCTTCTGTTTCATGCTTCCAAAGCAAAAGCCTCTATTTACACAGCCCCTAGGAAGATGTCCCCAGGCTATAAGACCTGTTGATTGCTCACTTTGAAACCAACTGCCCCACTTTACACCCTTCTTTCTATTCAGGGAGAGTCAAGAAAGCAGTGAAGGACTGTAGATAGTCCCTGTGCCATGGCCTGGCATCATGGGAACCCATGCCTAGTGGAAGTCCTCCAGAACCACAGGAAAGGGAGGGATGGAAAACAGGGCACGCGCAGGATTGCTGGCAGGTAGACCTCCAAGTGGGCCCTAAAGTGAAGGCGCAGAGCCTTAACTCCCAGGCAGGAAGGGAATCCTGCCTCGGAATTGTCTGCCCATGACAAACTCCTTTTCTAGGCCCCCATCGGCCACTCCAGAGGCCCACAGTGCCACGGCCAAGGAGGGACCCGGGGTGAGCCCAGCAGGCTTACAGCCAAGGGGGCGGCGAAGGGGGCCGCAAGAAAGAACTGGGAGAGGGTGTGTCGCGAGGCCAGTCCCGCAGCACCGCGCTCTCTGGATCTGGAGAGGGCAGGGGCGCGCGGAGCGCCGGGCTGTCGGCCCAGCCGGAAAGGGGGCAGGTTAACAGGTCAGTGTGGGCCCGCGAGGCCACTCCCGGCCACTGCTCAAAGTTGGAAGGGGAGATCCGGCGGTAGGACCCGCGACATAAACAAGGCGACGCGCGAGAAAGCGAGCGGCCACCCCCACCCGGCCACCCCTCCACCGCCGCAGCAGCCCCGATCTCGCCCGGGCCGCACGAGCCTCCTGGGCCCCCCACCCGATGCCGTCCCTAATCCCGGGTTGCAGCCCGCGCGAGGTCCCGCGCAGCTCACCTCGGCAGACCACTGGCCCGGACAGCTCGGCTCCCTGCAGCGGCCGCGGCCCCTGCCCGCCACCGGCGCGGCCCCTGCACTGCGCCGCCTCCCGCCGCCGCCGCCTTCGCGCCCACCTGGCCGGCCTGCCCTCCCTCTCCGGGACACTGCGCTCACGTACACGGCCGCGGCCACAACCCGGCCCGGATTCCCCCGCCCGGGAAGGGAGCGCACCGAGCCGTTCGCAGCCAGACCGCCCGCGAGCCAGCCAGCTAGACGCGGGGACACACCCCCGGCCACGCGCGCGCACAACCCGCGCGCCCCCAGCCCCGGCCGCGCGCGCGCGCGCTCCACACACCCTGGCTGGCGGTACACAGTGGGCGCTCAATAAATGCTGGAGCGACTCCTCTCACACACACATGCGCACTTGAACCTGACCGAGTTGTGACCCCCCTCCCCCCAGCCCCCACCCCTAAATCGGAACGTTCAGCTCAGTCCGGAACCGAACTAGAGTATCTGCTTCCCCCCTCCTTTTTTTTTTTTTTTTTTTTTTTCCTTTTTTTTTTTTTTTTTTTTTTTTACCCCCCTCCTCACTGAACTGCAAACCCAGCCAAAGTTTCTGGCTGTTGTTTTTCCAGCGCGCCCAGGGCGGGAAAGGAAGCCAGAAGCTCTGGGCGCCAGGGACAGCAGTTTGGCGAGGGCGACAGGGACCCGAGGCCGGGTAGCCGGGGGCGGCGCGCGAGGGCGGAAGCGCTTGAAAACCCAACCTTTTCATTTTGCTTTGGACCAAGAGTTTTCTTCCCCTGTTTTATGACATTTATTCGTTTGTAGTTGTAACGCGAGGCGGTGTTTACTGTTTCTAGAATTAAATGGGAGAAAGTTAACTATTAGCCTTCAACCCTTGAGTAAACAATACCGGTTGCTTTTTGGCACAGTTAGGCTCTAGCTTTTGGATAATTTGTAACAGGGAGAATCGAAGCTGTTCCATTGTGTAGGTCTGTGTTTTTCCTAGATAAGGCCAAGGACGGTGGGGAGGGGCGTGTGTGTGTGTGTGTGTGTGTGTGTGTGTGTGTGTGTGTGTGTGTGTGTGTGGTATGTGTGCGTGTGTGTTTACAATCAAACAAATTTAATGAGTAAAAGAGTAATAATTCCCTCTCCCTCTTGAAAAAAGAAAGTTTTAAGACATTTTGAAGTTGCAGTTCACCTCCAATTTGGGACTTGCTGCCTTTCTAGGAGGCAGTGGAGTCTTGGTAAAGTTTGGGGAGTCACGTGTGATTCTAGCACCAGCATCTTCGGCAGGTTCAACTCTGAACATCAGCTTCTTGATCTATTAGATAAAGCAGAGTAACTAGAGATAGTGCCTACATCACAGCAAAAAAAAAAAAAAAAAAAAAAAAAAAAAAAGTAGCATGTCCTGGGAACTGGTAAGAGGAGATGGCTCAGTGTTAACACTGTGGCCAAACCTGATGAGTTAGAGCCCCAGCATGCACAAGGTGGCAGGAGCGAATCAACTCCAGCAAGTTATCCTTAGACCTGAACACACACACAATAAATAAATTTAAATAAATTAAATTTTAAAAAAATAGAATGTCCCTTCCCCTGCCTCTCACTACTTGTTGAAATAAAAGTATCCAACTGGAATCAAAATTCCTTTGGGAGATGGTTCACAATTAGGAATGATTTTTGTCCCCAGTGGCACTTAATAATATCTGGAGACATTTGTCACTGGTGTTAGGTGAGAGTTGTTCCCTACTGGCATCTAAGCTGCTGAAGGTCAAGGATGCCACCAGTGTCCTGCTGTGTACAAGACAGCCCCATGTGGCTGAATTAACTAGTCTGAATGCTTGTAGTGCCTGCTCTAGGACAATCCTGCTAGGGTGTGATTCACCCAAGACTGCTTTTCCCTTTTAATTCTCATCCTCAGGAAAGATTTCTGTTTCCAATTAAGGAGAACAAAGCATTGTAGGGACTCAAATCGATGATTTAATACATAAAGCCTTCCCTTAACATGAAAATGTAGATTGCAATTGCATATTTTATTAGTAAAGGAACATACAACCCATGCATGGTTTTCTGTTCTTGTTCCCAGTTGTCCTCCAATGCTTCCTGTATATTCACCCCTCTCATGCCTTTCTTGATCAACCTGAGGTTTGCAATACAGTCCCTGCCCCCAGGGAACATTTGGCCTCCTTGGGAGCAGACTGCTGCTCACTAACAATTGAGGAGCAATACAAAAAACAAACAAACAAAAAACCTATAATTAAGTGTTAATTGCAATTCAGGGACTAAGGGAGTCTTCATAGTAAAACCTGCGGCTCCAGAAATGCTTGTGGAGCTAAATGAAAGTTGCGTGCACAGAGTAGGTCCCCAGCCAGAATATGAGCTGCAGCACAGTATTCAGATAGCTAGGCCTCATAAAAGGTTGAGAGTATCTGGCTTTGGGTTTTGTTTTATCATGGTGTTGTTTTGTTTTGTTTTTTGTTCTTTTTTTTTTTTTTTTTTTTTTTGAGATAGGGTCGTGTAACCCAGGCCTACCTTGAACTTGATAGATAGCTAAGGAGAAACTGCTGATTCTCTTCTACTCTCCAAAGGCTGATGTTACAGGCATGTGCCAACACACCCCATTTATGTGGCCCTGGGGACCAACCCAGGGATTCATGCATATCAGGCAATCACTCTATCAACTAAGCTACATCTCCAGCTCTATTTTTCTTTTTATACTTTTTATTTATTTACTTTTTTTTTTTTTTTTTTTTTAAAGACAGGGTCTCTCTGTATAGCCGTGGCTGGCCTTGAACTCATAGAAATCCACCTGCCTCTGGATCCTCAGTGCTGGGATTATAAGGTGTGTAACGCCATTACTGGCTATTTATTTACTTACTATTTTAGTTTTGCAATACTGGAGATTGAACCCAGGGCTTTGTGCTTATTGGCAAATATTCTTCCACTGCTCTAAATCCCCAGCCTGAATTTATTTTTTAAACTATCTCATTTAAACTTTTAACCAAACATATGCTTCCTAAAATGACTGAGTTTCGATAAAGCTGAAATGCTCATTCAGTTGACAAAACATATGTCCCCACTGTGTGCAAAGCAAGCCCATACTCTCTGAATTTGCACAGAGCCCATAGCTTGTTCTGGTTTGAAATCTCACAGGCTGTTCAGGGACATATGTCCTCTCCCAGCATATGTGAGATACAAATCCCTTTTTACTGCAGGCAGTACATATGGTGTACATTCCAGAGTTCTGCACATTAGCCCCAACTCAGAACATCCCTTCACAAACAGCTGGTCCAAACACACAGACACCTAGCATGAAGCACCTTCTCTTGGAAGTTAGGTGCAGATCCTGAATACACACAACATACAACATGCCAAGCAGAGTGTGCTTGGAAAGACTGTCATTTTGGGTTTGTGGTCCTGGTCTCCTGCCTGCTTCCTCTGTGTGAAAGGGCTTGCCCTTCTGGGGAACTGTCTCATTCATCTTCAGCCTGTCCTTCCTTTCTCCCACCCTCTGGCTCCCTATTAAAATGCTGGTACCTCGTACCTCCTTTCCATTTAAGTATCCCCCATCAACTGAGATTAAGCAAAGCACCCCAACCTTCCTCCCCTCCCCTAACTAACACTGTATGTTACACTTATAGGTCATATTTGGGGCACTAGACATCTAAAATGTCCACCTTTCTCAGACTATTGATGCTACTGTTTATAGGTGTGGCTTCTCCAAACCACCCTCCCTTGGCCCCTTTCCGCTACCTAAAGCTCCCCAGAGGCTGCCTGTAGCCTTTCTAATACAATCCCAGCACTGCCAATAGAACCAACCCCTCCTGGTGAGCCTCCAGCTTCCACCTGCCTCCCTCTGTGTGTCTGTGCATCCCTTTCACATTGTACCCTGGGCACCCTCATGCTCACCAGAATGTATGTCTTCCTTTGTCCCCTGCTATATTCTCTGCCTGAAACGCTGTTCTCACTCATTATTCTACACTGCTCTCCATCCTCATACCCAAGTAGGGAAGTTTGGGAAACATGTTCTTTGAGATGCTTGCTCTGGCCTCCTTGACAAGATGAGGTGCCCCACCCTTGGTCCAAGCACCCTTAACTTACTCCCTCCTCACTGTGCTGAAATCTCCACTTTTTCATCTTTACCTCCTACAAGACTACAGATGTACGTACAGGACAGTCTCAACGCTCATGACACAGCCAATGCCTTATGTCCAGTACAGCACAGTGCCTTAAGTATTTGTTGCTGAATGAATGGCAGACTGCATCTGGGGAAAGAGCATCAGTGTTCTATGGTCCAGGTGATCCTCAGTTCAAACCACACTTTAAATGTTGTGTGGGCTCCCAGGTTCTTGAGGTTCCCAGCCATTTATTTAGAGCAGGGTGAAACTCCCAGTATGAGGCTTTCCTGAACTCCAAACTCTTTGTTGTTGTTTGTTTGTTTTTTGTTCTTTGTTTTTTTTTTCAAGACAGGGCTTCTCTTTGTAGCCCTGGCTGACCTGGAACTCACTCTGTAGACCAGACTGACCTGGAATTCAAAGATCTGCCTGCCACTGCCTTCCAAGCTCTGGGATTAAAGTGTGCCACCACCGCCCGACTATGAGTGCTAAACTCTTATCACCAATTCTCTGCTTGGCATCCCAACATTAAACCTCTTGGGTAAAAAAGAAAAGACTTCTGATGGCTCTTGACAAATCTGCTTCCTCCCACCTCAGTAAGTAACAATGTTCTTCAAGTTCTTTGGGAACAAGTACAAATCTTAGCCCCAAGTAGCTCCAGCCTACCCAACGACATTGGCCCTGTGCTGTTTCTTAAACCAGCCCGCTTGGCCTTTCTGAGGCTGCTTATTTAGAATTCGAGTGATCTTCCTGTAGACATCTAGTATTTAACTACATCTCTGTTCAAACTCACAAGACATTTTCCTTCCAACATATCTGAAAATGCACCTACCGCTACTCTATCCGTTTACCTAGTGGTAGTCTCTGGGCTTTGCACAAATTACCACCTGACAATCTGTCTCTGTCTGTTTGGCTAAAACTTCAATGACCACAAGGATTTTGTGTTGTGTCCTCAGCTTCTAGAACAGTGTTTAGCATATAGTATATATCAAATAAATAATCAGAAATCAAGGGTCTTGTTAGTCCACCAAAAACATACTC